TCACTTGCTAATGATTATTGCTAAAGAACCATGAGAAAATGTCTGCTTTTAAACCACCTGGTCTATGGTACTTTCTTCACCAGCCCTAGAAAGTGGGCTTGGCGGGGCAGGTGCCACTTTAGAGTACCTTGCTCGTGTTCTCTCCTCCAGAGCTGTAAGGTATCAATAGTGGACCATACCTCAGATGCTACTGACATATATCAAGATTCTAATTTTATTTAATAAACTGTTTTTGGAAAGCATCTTGGAGCTCTCGGCCTTGGAAAGCAGAATTGCTAACTGATATCTGTAGATGTTTCCCTCTAATGAATAGCCTTACTAACACACAGCCTTGATCTATTTATTTAGTAAGTACTTTTTGGCTGTCTATCATATGCTAAGGATTTTTTCCCATGGTTTAGGTGTTGGGGAAATAGCATTTTGAATTAAAACATCAGAGCCATGTGCTGTTTACTTTTAGTGTATGTTGTTATATGCAGCCTTAAAAATACATACTTAAGCAAATTATTATTTAGCATATTGAATGACAATAAGGGGAAGGGGAAAGAAGACAGATTATATTTGGGGCACAGGAAAATGGACAGCAAATTCGTAAAAGGTGTCAGAAGGTCTCTCTGTAGAGGTAACTTCATGCAGAGCCCGGATTAGGGTGGGGTGTGTTGATGCAGACATGCACTCTCCAGATGGCACTTCAAGGGAAGATTTTCTGTAGTAGATGCTGGAGAGTGGCCACCAGGCTGTCAGAACCTTCACAGATTGGCTCAGCTACAAAGCGCCTGTCACGGCTATGCCAAACCTACAGACTCTTCCTTGTGCGAAGTTAAACTTGGAGGTAGGAGGCAGTCAAAAGGGGAGACAGAAATGGAAGTGCTTTTGATTTGAGTTAAAATGTAACTCTGAGGAGCCAGCTTGGGATTTCTCCGGCTCTGAAGCCTGTGGATTTCCCCATTGAGGAATTGTCAGAATGCTGCTCAGTCTGAGAGGGAAGTTTTAACAGCTGGATTCCAGCTGTGTCTTCTGGTGCTCACCAAACTCCTCTCTTCCCTCCTCTGATCACAGTTGTCTTACACTTTTCACATGGTTGCATTTTGACATTCAGGGTTCTAACAGCGAAAGGAAACAGCTTTGTCTGGGCTCTGTCAACAGAGGATCTATTACGGCTCCGGATATGTACAGGCTTCCAGAGATCGTGGATGCTAATGATTGATGATAAGCAATATTCCATTAATCACATGCCAAAAGTAACAAATGGAAGTGTAATGCCTTGAGACAGGATGTCAAGGAGATGTTAGTTATTACCCTACAAAGGGAAATGGATGCTAAGGTCAAGTTTTCCTTTTCTAGGCCACAGTAGTGAAGGTGCGTGGAAGAATTTGACACAACCTGACTTTGATGACCACAAGACCCCACATTGTGTATTCTGATTTTCAGACCATTATTTTTCTCCTTTCTTTCACATTCAGGTGTGGGATTCAGAGCAGTAATTTTAGATGTGAGCACTGTTTGCATTTGAAGAGCTAGCTTTTTATAGCCAAGCATTTACTAAGACACTGTGTATGAATTGTATATTTTAGTAAGGAAGTGGTTATCTCACAATAATGGATAATGAACCCAATGGTTCTTGTTGAACCATATTTTATAATTCTTGAATTATAATTACTGATATTAAAAAATGCTAAAATGCAGATTGACCAGAAGTATATAATAATGAAAGTCATTTCTATGTTATCTGGGGTCATTTTAAGGAGTATGGAAGTAATAATGTAAAAGAAAATGTCCCACTAAACTGTGGTCCTCACAAGGACATACTTCTGTCCTCCCACATCTACGATAACTAGAGAGTATCTGGCACACAGTAGGTACTCAGTAAGTAATTGTTAATGAATGATTGAACTATTAGAAAATGGATAATCTAGAGACATGTCCAGACTGTAGTTTATAGGTGGTATGCAGAGATTACTATGAATTCAGTTAGACACAAAATAGCAAGTTTAAAATAGGATAAGGTGAGTGTTTATGTATGATTATTTTCTGTAATTAGATTTTGATTGTTTTTATAAAATTATTTCATTTATTGTTAGTTTCATGCATGTATATAGTGTATTTTGACCATATTTTCATATACTACCTTCTCTTGCTCCTTCTTTCATTCCCCTTGAATCACTTCTGCATTGAAAAGCCCTTTTTGTATTTTTATGCCTTTTTAAAAAACATCCACTGAGTTTAATTAGGATTTTGTGAATGACATACTATTTACTAGGGCATGGGTGAGTTGCTAATGGGGATACCCCTGAAGAAAGTGAGTTCTACCTTCCTTAGCAAACATGAACTTCCAGGGAGAGGTGGTGGAATGTTGACAGGCCCTTTTGTATAGATCTTGAGCAGATAACCACAGATACTATAAGTCCATAAAGCCACTGGCCAAACTGTGTCCAGAAGATAACATTTCAAGTGCTCCCCACCCCCATCCTCGGGCTCTTGCCTTCTTTTTTCCTATGCTTTCTTGATGTTTTTGGCTCTTGGGGGGGTGATATAGATATCTCATTTCAGGGTGAACAGTCCAGTCACTTGCTCTCAGCATTTTAGCCAGTTATTCCTCTGTGCATTACTTGCTGTCCACTGTCAAAACAGACTTTTCTGACTAAGGCTTAGAGGTCTACTATTCTATGGCTATAAACAAAAATGTTTAGACGGTAGTTTGTCCATTTAGCAAAACAAATGGTAGTAGGTTCCCCACCAGGGCCTACGAATTCTACAGCCATGGGCTTTTGACCCAATTTATAAGATTAGACATGACCACTGTCCTGTGGTTCAGGCCTTATCTCCAATCACAGAGCTGTTGGTCTCCCCATAGCATCATTCCAGCCCAGAAGAAGCATCTAGGTCAGTTCCAGGTCAATTTCTCTATGTCTTGTAAGTAAAGTGTGTGATGTCTTACCCTCTTGCTCTGGTAGAAATTGTTTGATTCTTGAAGATGAAGGTAGACATGACTGATACACTTTGTAAATTAAATTGATCCTTGAAGATTCCATTTAGTTCTTGTTGAGTGAAACCTTTTCCTTGCCAGTCACTTTGGTTTTTCCCCACCAGTCGCCTGGGATCTGCCATGTTGTAGTCCCCAAATAACATACAAGATGCTGTATTAATTATGAAGCTGTTGGCCTTGCTTGTTTCTTATTGGCTAGCTCTGACTTAAGTATTTACTCCATACTTGTTAATCTAAGTATTTCTCTTACCAGAGAAAAGGGTCCAGACTTCTTACCCCTATGGCAGCTACATGGTGACTCCCTGTGTTTCTCCTTCCCAGAGTCCTCCTGGACTCCTAGTCCCACTTATCTTGCTTCCCTATTGGCCAACAGTGCTTTATTGACATATACACAGGACTTCCTCATCAAGTTCTGACATTCTGCTGCTTAGGGGAAAGAGAGAACTTGTTACCATACTTCTTGCCTTACCTACTCTACTAGCTGTACATCATCTAGCCCTTTATGTGCTTGGGTTCTACATCCATGTAGTCAACTAAGGATCAAATGTTCAGGAAACAATCACATCTTTACTCAGCATATCATTTGCATTAAATAATATGGCGTATTAATAATTTATATAGCATTTGTATTATATTTGGTCTTATATAATTATGGTTACAGAAGCAACTCATGGTATATAAGAGGATATTTTATGGGTTATATGGAAAAAAGTATGTCATTTTATGTAAGACATTTGAGATTTGAGCATTCACAGAGTTTGATGTCTGAACCAATGCCCTGTGAATGAGGGGAGATTCTGAGGCAAGAATGGCAACATGAATAATACTGAGCCCTGATGGTCTTCTAGGCATCTGTTACCTCCTTTCCCTCCTTTAGAGTACTTAATTTTTTTCTGTAGCTCAGTCCTGAGGCTGTACTTTGAAAACAGTTGTGTTGAATGAAAATGGGCCCCATAAGCTCAAATGGAGTGGCATTATCAGGAGGTGTGGCCTTGTTGGAGTAGGTGTGACCTTACTGAAGTGTCACTGGGGGTGTGTGGGAACACCAGACCTTGAGCAGAGACCCACTTCCCCTTCTGCCTAGGAGTAGGCAGCTGTAAGACAATGTTTAGTAAAAACATGTTTACTAAAACTGATACAATAAGTTCCTGGGAAAGGCCTTCCCACGAAAACCGCCCTGACCTCGACCTTGTCCAAAGACTAACCGCACCTTCAAAAACCCACACACATCCACCTCTGGGGTCAGAGCAGAACCAGCCAGGGTAGAGGAGAGAGCAGAAGCTTCTCTGGTGGGAGCTTTTCTTAGGAAGTTTTTCTTGAACCTTTTTGGAGCCTGTTTAAAGTTTTCTTTATATCATTGAACGAGTCTCTGTGTTTTCAATACCCGACACCCTCCGCACGTTCTCGGACACAGGCCACGCTGCAGACGTGACAAGCTACTTCTCCAGTACCATATCTGCCTCCACCATCCTCCCACCATCATGGCCTTGGAACTGTAAGCTAGTCCCCAGTTAAATTTTTTTTTTAGTAAGTTGCTGTGGTCATGGTGTCTATTCACAGCAATAAAAGCCCCAACTAAGGACACCATGGAATTTCCATGATGGACCATGAATAACTTAAACAAGTCCTTGCAAATTCATTTCTCTTGAGGCAGTGACTGGATGAGATTAGCATTTCCCTGACCCACAGGGATTGGTCTGGAGTAGACTCCAGTCCTGAGAGGCACAAGGAGACAGTTGATACGAATTTGGGGGAGATGTGTTTCTTAGTGGTTTGAGTGTTACTAGCAGTCATGTTCTTGTCAGAACTGTTTCACAGGTGTCTAGAAGCCTCACACCCCTGCTGCTATGCTTTCACGGAGGCTGTCAGCTGGGAATAAGCTCAAGTAAAACAACAACAAAAACAATAAACGAGGTCTTTGAAGATCTAAGTCTTCATTGTTCATTCAAGATTTGGCTTAACCTTTGTAGCTTCATTTGAGGGATAAAATTTAATTCTTGTCTATTTTCAACAGAATGATGAGCACGGAAGAGATGAATGATCATCCAGTTGATTACAGTGAACCGTATATGGTAACAGGGAAGCTGAGAGTAAAGGAGAGGCGAATGATCGTCTACATCAGAAGTTCTCAGCCGTTGGGTCCTGACTCCTCTGGAGGTTGAATGGTACTTTCATTGGGGTCACCAAAGACCATCAGAAAACACAGATATTTACATTATGATTCATAACAGTAGCAAAATTACAGCTATGGAGTGGTTACAAAAATATTATGGTTTGGGGTCACTACAACATAAGAACTATATTAAAGGGTTGCAGCACTAGGAAGATTGAGGGCCACTGGTCTACATGGTTACAGTGCACTATACACATGGTGCAGGTGCAAAGGCATTTCAGCTCTAGATTACTCTTGGGTTTTTTTGTTTCACAAAACAATTCTTTCCCAATTTCAACCCTACTATGATAGTATAACTCAACTGATTAGGACTGACAATGGAAACTTATCATAAGAACAAAAACAGATGAGCATCCTAATAAGTTTATTAGGGAAAAAAATCTTAGTTTCATCGTTTGCCAAAGGAACCATGGCCTGTTAACACTCCCACTCTGCCTCCCCGAGTCTCTAACAATTACTAGGTATTTTTTCTGTCATGCTGAATTTGCCCATTGTCTATCATATATTATAAACCTCTTTTTACCTTGATTGATTACTACCCTTTTAAGTTCCTCTCTTGGCTCTAAGTAATCCTCTTAGCTTAATTTAAATGACAACTAACTTCTAATTTAAGTGGGCTCAATTCCATGAGTCCCCACAGCAAAAGACACATAAAGCTTCATGTTTAGTTTTCCCCCTTTCTTTTTTCTGTGATGTCAATCCAGGTAAATGGCACAGAATCGTAAAAAGGGATAAAGAGTACACAGAGTAGCAGAAGGAGGTAGAAGAGGCGGCATGAAAACAGAAGGGAGAGAGGAGGAAGAGAAAGTGGTAGTGTTATAAAGGACCAAAGAAGCAGCCAGCGACTGATTCTGCAAAGATCTGCACCCCACTTCTGCAAGCACAAAGCGATGAAAAGACATAAATAATTACTACATGAAGCAAAATATTTCTCAGGGTTCATAGAGCAGGGCAGGTATTATAACACCTCACAGGTACAAGAAAAGAAAATACAGCAATTTGATCATTTGGGGGGAACACAAGAATATCTCTGAAAAGTGAAAGAGATCAGAAACACCTTTTAAAATAAGAACAAAGAAAGAATTTGGCCACGAGTTTCTATTAAGCAGGCAATTTGAGATCAGAACAGTAACCTAAAACCAACTATACTAGCCCAGCATGTATTGAGAGAGCCTGCTGCCTGTCCTGATTTTCAAGTTTAGGAAACATTGCTTTGTATTTGTCATGAAAGATTAGCTGACATTCTATAGCCTAAAATTTAAGTGGAGAATAATATCTTTATTACAAACTGTGAGCAAGAAATCCTCTTCTGACCAGTACGGTTGCACGTAGATAAGATAATGTAAATGAAGAGATGACTAACTAAAACTCGTTTTCTCCTACCCACAGGCTTGACTGCGAGGAAAGATACCCTTAAAAGTCTTATCTTCAGACTAAGGGATATCTATTTCAGAACTTCTATGTGATCCTGTAACATAAGGAAGACTCTGGTGCGATTATACAGGATTTGCAAGGCCCACGGAAGGTTTCGTTTGTGGTGCAGTCCATCTGCTACGAAGTTCTCTGACACCCTTTGCTGAGACAGTGGGAGTCCATTTCTTTTCTTTTCATGGAAGCTGGCCTGGTTTGGACCAGTAAATTTCATGAATAAAGTTTAGCCCAAGGGACACCCAGATGCTTTCCTGGGTAGTCAGAAGCCTCACAGCTTCTTCAGTCTTCTCAGAATGTTTGCACTCTGGCCTCTTCCTCTTGAGATAACCTTGCAGTGAGAACAGACAGTACACATATATGTGATTCTCATAACCCCACCCCATGTCCCGCCATCCAGGGCTCTCCAATACCGGTCCAGCCGAACCTACAGCAGTGTGAGCTGCCCAAATAGATCCTTAGCACCTTGCACGGCAAACAGAATAGAACGGCTGTGTCAACACTAAACATGCGGCTGTGCGTTGCACCTCAGATTTAGTCTGCTTTTGATCGGACTGCTCTAACAACCCCGTCACAGCCGGCTTTGCATGATGAAGTTGCGGATCTGCGAGGCCTGGAGGAGCCCATCTGAGGACTTGGAATAAACAAGTGGTGTAATTATGGGTAGCCCTATGACATCAAGGTGAACTGTGAATGATTTTGTTGCTTAGTGACGAATCTCCTTAAGCTTCTGTTTTATGTCTTCATCACATCTAACAGAAAAAAATTACATAACGTTCCTTTATCTGCACTCTGCACTTGATCTGAGTTGGGTCAGACAGAAAGAGCTGGCATGCTACCTACTGGAACTTTGCTGCCCACTCACTGCCCTTTCCCCCTTCCTGGGAAAGGCTGCTTTGATTGCAACATTCCCCAGATTTCAGCGGCCTCTGCTCTTGGTTCGTTCTGGGGCACTGTGTTCTGAGCATGACCTGCTGGCATCGAAACTTTGTGTGTGTGTGTGTCAAAATCCTGTTACTTGTTTTGAAGTTACTTTCACATATTCAATTTTAATTTAGTATAAAAAACACCTGTTTATTGAATTCTGTTTTGCTTCAAACATTTCTGACTTTCCGTTCTTTGTGTGTGTGTGTGTGTGTGTGTGTGTGTGTGTGTGTGTGTGTGTGTATGTTGGGGTGTTAACTACCATTAGCCAAATGTTAGGAATGTCTTTCTGACCTGTCTTTTAACTCTCACACAAACACATTAATACATACTCACACAATAATAAGAAATAAAAATAGATATCTACAGCAGAGAAACAACTTTTAAGCTTTTTTCTGTTTTTAATTAATTGTGAAATAAAAATATTTTTTAAGATTATGACATCGTTGTATCATTTTGTATCCTTTCCCTCTCTCTAAACCCTTCCATTTTCTATTTTATATGTATATGTATAAACATATATATCCCTGAATATAGCCTACTCAATCTGTGTAATCTTACTTTTGTGCATGTTTTCAGCACTGACAATTTGGTACTGAATAACCAACTGGTATTCTCTTCCCTGGGGAAGACTTTTTCTCACTCTCAGCATTCCTTAGTTCTTTGCCGAGGCCTCCTGGGCTTTCCCTGTCCACTTTGGCATGCCTGTTGTTATTATTTTTGCTCATCTCACATTTGGGCAGTCATGCTGGTGAAACTTTATGGCTGTAGCTTTTGACATTACTAAGAGACACAGTCTCAGAGCAAATCTTCTGATTCCTGGCTCTTACAATCTTTCTGCTCTCTTTTTTCTGCAATGTTCCCTGAACATTAGGTATAGGAGTCATTTGTTGACGGAGCAGTTGGGACTTCTCTGCACAACTTATATACTTGCTTATAAAAATGACAAAGGGGATAACATTTAGGAGTCAGAAGATTTTTATCCAAAATCCAACTTTTATGGGAAAATAATCACATAATGGCTTGGACTTTGGCTCAATTGTACATTGTCTCATGACACCTAGTTGTAGCTAAGCTGCAACATCTTAATTCGATGTTATCTGTGCTTTTCAGTTCAGCCCAGTAATGACTACTTTCTGCATTCTCCCTAGCCAGCAAACCAAGTGTGGATGTATCATCTTATTTTTACCTACTGGTTTTCTTAACATACAGAAATGCTTCATTTTTTTTTGGCTACATCAAAAGTGAATGTGAAGGATTCCTCCATTACTTTTTTTCTTAAATGATATATATCTGGAGAGATGGTTAAAGGCACTTGTTGTCTTGCTGAGGACTAGGGTTCAATTCCCATCTCCCGCCTTACAGTTCATGACCATCTATAACTATAACAGTTCCAGACATCTACTGCCATTTTCTGGTTTCCAGGGGCACTGCACGCACACAGTGCACATATACACATGCAATGAAACAGACACATAAAATCAAACAAAATTGAAAAATTATACAAGAAAAAGTGTCATTAGGCAATTAAAGGTATTCTTACCACAACCAATCAGAATGCAGAGTTGTGGAACCCATTCCCAGTGGATATGTTCCCTTGGAGGCAAGAAGTGGGCATCAGAGCCATTGGAGCTTGAATTACAGGCACTGCCTGATGTGGGTTTCGAGACTCAGATGTGTCCTCTGGAAGAATAGTATGTGGTCTTAATGAGCAAGCCATCTCTCTGCCCCTCCCCCTCCACAGCACTAAATTCCAATGAGCAGAAATTTTCAAATCTTTAAAAGCTAACTTGGAATTTCATATACTCTATCAGGGGAAAGAAGAGACTTCTCTCAAAAAAGGGAGTAAGACATATCTTTACAGTTTAGTCCTTTGACGGAATTTGATGGAATAGTCAGTTAAAACACGAAGATGGCTTTTCCTGCCTCCCTCACCTCAGCACCGGGAGTTGAAGTCTGTCAAGCATCATTAGAACACAGTCCATTTTGTGTTGAAGAAACTTGGGATCTGAAAATATTTTCCTCCCCCATGTCTCACTCCTGCTTTCAAATAATTCTGAACAAACATGAGCCCAAGCCTCTTTCCATCAAGTGCTGGTAGAAGGAGTTGGGGTCGGGATGGAAATGTCTTGGGCAGAGAACCAAAATGAGGCTTATTCATGGGACACCAGAACTGTCATGTGTGTGAGCCATCAAAAGCTGCAAAGCAGCGTGCAGACTCAAAATGCAAGGACCTGAATCAGAAAGGTTGCTGAGTCTGTGGCTCTAGAAAGGAGGAAGAAGCCTGAAGATTGAAAAGTTCTCCCGTGAGTTGAAGCTTGAGAGAGAGAGAAACAGAATACAATCCTAGAAGCAGCTGGAGTGCTGGTTCTGTGAGGGCTCTTTCCCTGTGGACAAACAGCCGTCTCCTTTCTTTGTCTTCACATGGCAGAGAAAGCACATTCCTTTGCTGTTGCTCTCTGTTACAAGGGCACTAATCTCACCATGAAGGCTTCTAGCTAAGTCTAATTGCCTCCCTCAGGTCTCCTTTCCAAGTAGCACTGCAGTGGGGATTAACGCTTCGGCATGGGGATTGGACGGCTTAGTTCAGCTGATGACAGGTAATGGAGTGAGTGTGCTGTTTTAGTGATACCCAAGTGAGTCCTGCACCATCCATGGTGCGCTCTTTCCCAGCATCCCCAAGGCATGTTCTTTGCTGTTCGTCTTGTTCACTGCATATGACTACAAGGTGAACACATTTCACAGTGGTGCCGGCATGCCTGCCTGCTCCCGTCTCAAGAAACAAACAAACCCTTTAAGGTTTACAATTTATTGCTGATCAGAGTGAGAAAACGGAGATAAACATGCCCAGTAAACTATGGAAATAAATGCTTCTAGAACTTTCTTCTTTTGTCAGGTTCAAATAAAAATGCTTACTGCGAGTCTCCCAGAGAGCATAACGAGTCTTGACTCTGCGTGGGTCTCAGTGGTAGAGCACTTGGCTGCTACACATGCGGCCCAGTACTGCAAAGAAGAATCATGTTTTCAGTAGTTTCTTAGAGAAAAACATCTTGTGGCTCACTGTGGCTTGTTCCATTAACTTTATTCTGGACATTTGGTCTTCACCATCATTTCTAACAGTGATCTAGCATTGCTCTCCACAGTCTGACTTGGTTCCTGGTAAGGATTATTTAGAGCTTTTCTGACTTGATGCTTTTGATGCTTATCATTAAAGCCTTATAATGTGATCGATGCAGAGCAATGGCAGCCTTTCCTTCCTACAGAACACATTTAGACCTCTGAAGGCAGCAGCCGAGGTTGTCCTAACTCCAGCCTCTATGATCAGCTAGGGAAACACTGTCTCTACACTCATCTTTGTATTAGCACTACTGGTGAAGATAATAGGCCCCATTAAAAAAGACTCATGTGACATTTCTAGACACCAGCCCATTTTGAGAATACGTTCTTAGAACATTTTGAAAGTAAAACCTGTGCCACAAATTGTTACAGACTGAATAGCATCTCCTCAAATACACAGACTTATTTATTTATTTGTTTATTTGTTTGTTTTATTTTTCGAGACAAGATTTCTCTGTGACTTTGGAGGCTGTCCTGGAACTAGCGCAGGTAGACCAGACTGGTTTCAAACTCACAGAGATCCACCTGCCTCTGCCTCCCGAGTGCTGGGATTAAAGGCATGCACCACCAATGCCCAACTTCTTTTTTTTTTTTTTAGTTTAAATTAGAAACAAGCTTACTTCACATGTCAATCCCAGTTCCCTCTCCCTCTCCTCCTCCAGCCCTAACCCCAATCCCACTTCACTCTTCAGGGAGGGTGAGGCCCTTCATGGGAGATCTCCAAAGTCTGTCATATCATCTGGGGCAGGGCCTAGGACCTCTCCCATGTGTCCAGGCTGAAAGAGCATTCCTCCAAGTGGAATGGACTCCATTCAGATGCCAGGGATAAAAACTGATCTAGTACCCAAGGCCCCAAAGATTGCTGAGGCCTCCTCACTGATACCCCCTTCAGGGTCTGGATCAGCCCCATGCTGGCCTTCCAGACGTAAGTCTGGGGTCCATGAGCTCTCCCTTGTTCAGGTCAGCTGATTCTGTGGGTCCTGCCCGCTCTTGACCCCTTTGTTCATAATTCCTCCCTCTCTGCACTGGCTTCCAGGAGTTCAGTTCAGTCTTTTGCTGTGGGTGTCTGCCTCTGCTTCCATCAGCCACTGGATGAAGGCTCTAGGATGGCATATAAGGTAGTCATCAATCTCATTATTGGGGAAGGGCATTTAAGGTAGTTTCTCCACTATTGCTTAGATTGCCAGCTGCTGTCATCCTTGTAGATCTCTGGAAATCTCATTAGTGTCAGATCTGTCTTTAAACCTATAATGACTCCCTCTATTGTGATATTTCTCATCCTGCTCTCCTCTATTCTTCCCCCGACTCAATCTTTCTGCTCCCCCATGTCCTCATCTCCCCTTCTCTTCTCCCCCTCACCTTTCCCCTGCTCCATCTTCCTTCCCCCATGCTCCCAGTCCACTTTGGAGACCAATTCCCCTTCTCTGGGGTACCATGCATATCTCTCTTAGGGTCCTCCCTGTTTTCCAGATTCTCTGGTGGTGGGATTGTAGGCTGGCAATCCCCTACTCCATGTCTAAAAATCTATATATGAGGGAGTACATACCATGTTTGTCTTTTTGTGATTGGTTACCTCACTCAGGATGGTTTCTTCTAGTGCCATCCATTTACCTGCAAATTTCAAGATTCCATTGATTTTTTTCGGCTGAGTAGTACTCCATTGTGTAAATGTACCACATTTTCTCTATCCACTCTTCAGTTGAGGGGCGTCTAGGTTCCTTCTAGGTTCTGGCTATTACAAATGATGCTGCTATGAACATAGTGGAATAGATGTCCTTGTTGTATGAATGTGCATCTTTTGGGTATATTCCTAAGAGTGGAATTGCTGGATCTTGTGATAGACTGGGAATCACCAACTTCTAATGTGAGTTTATTTGTAGACAGAAACTTTAAAGGGCAATTAAATATAAAAGAGATGGTAAAGATGGGGCCCTACTTCAGAAGGACTGGTGTCTTTAGAAGAAGAAAAATCAGGGCTATGTGTACAGAGACAAGGTCGCCTAAGGACAGAGGGAGAGTGATCATCTGTCAGCCGAGAGAGTGGCCTCAGGAGAATCCAAACACAGGGCACCTTGATGCTGGATTTCCAGCCTTTGGAACTCTGAAAGAACACATTTGTTTTCTTAATGACCGAGTACATTGATATTTTGTCATGGCAGCTCTGTAAATGAAGACCTGAGTTTTGTTTTCTTTCAGCTGTGAGCTCTAGGAAACTCAGATCCAGATGTGAGGTCTACACTAATCTCACACATTGGCAATATCCCCATAATTCCTGTGTTTTGATCTTTCTTTTGTGACTCACTTCTTTCTGTTTCAATTTT